AAAAAAAAAAAAGGACAGTTATGTTTGTACTACATAAGTACAGCCTTTTTCTCTTGTCATTATTCTTACAATAATGCAATACAACAACTATTTCCATAGCAGTTACTTATTTTATTTTATTTTATGGCAGTAGGGTCTCACTGTGTCTTCCAGGCTGGAGTGCAGTAGTCAAAGATCACTGCAGCCTCACACTTGCGGCTTCAAGTGATCCTCCCACCTCACCCTCCTGAGTAGTTAGGACTGTAGGCACATGCTGCCACACTCAGCTAATTTTTTTATTTTAATTTTTTGGAGAGACAAGATCTGACTGTGTTGCCAAAGTTGATCTCAAACTCATAGCCTCAAGCAATCTTCCTGCCTTGGCCTCCCAAAGTGCTGAGATTGTAAGTGTGAACCACTAAGCCTGGCCTACATAGCAGTTAAATTGTATTATGTATTATAAGTAATCTAGAGATGATTTAAAGTATACAAGAGGATGTGTGTAGGTTATATGCAAGTGCTGTGCCGTCTCATATACAGAACTTGAGCATCCTTAGATTTTGATATCTGTGGGGAGTCCTGGAATCATTCTGCCAAGGAGCTACCTTGGTTTTTGATTGGTAAATGCCAATGTTTTTCTCTATTGCATGCTGGAGCCAAATGTTCCTGTGATCAGTTACGGAGTTTGTGGACACATTAAATGTGTTTCTTCTTATGAGTTAAGAGTTACTAATGCTGCTGCCTGTTTACTTCCTGCTTTATTTAGGTTTCATGTCCTTAGCAAGCTACTGAGCTTCATGGCACCTATTGACCATACTACAATGAATGATGATGCCAGGTGAGTAATAGATTAATTATATGTCTCAAATGGCTTCATGACAGCCTGATATTGACCCGTTCTATAGCCTGCCACCTCTCCAATTCTTACCAGTTTACCATTTGTCATTGGCATTATAGTAGGGGTCACATCTCTTTACTTCCATAATTACTGTAAAAGCAAATCAGAATATTGTACAAATCTCAATGCTGCCTGGTGGTTTGATTTTGCTGTTTAGTTTTATTTTTAACTTCAGCCCATCTGCCTTGGATATCTGAGCTTCTCTGTAGAACGGAGTATGTGTTTGGCACTTTTGTGAATACGCTTTTCTTTTTAAAGTGGCTTTAGGGATGTGTATATGTTATGTTTGTTGAGGATTATGAGTTTTTTAAGTAAAAGAATTATATGCTCATTTTATAAAACTGAAATAGGATAGAAATATATACAGAAAAAAACTATGCTCATCATATTACAATTTAAAGATAACTATTTTTACAAATAATTTTTTACTTACTAATTGGCATTCTACTGTAATAAGGAACTTTCCCTTCTCCCTCATTTACTTACCATCTACTTATTTATTATCAATATTAGACTCATGCTTTGCTATTTTATTCAATAAATTGTATTTCCTTTGATATTAAAATTGTCCCCCATAGTGGAAGTACCTTCAAACTAGTGGGCATCCTTTTGAGTTGTCACTAGTTATTCCTTGCGCACTTCTTTGCTGGCATAAGATTTCTGAGGCACATGTTATACCTTTCATGGTCCAGCCCTGGCATCAGTCTTTCTTGAAGGAGAGCTGTTTCTTTTCATGGATCATGGTCTTTAGAAACCAAGATCTGGGTATTAGGGTGCTCACTGTTACTTTGTGTTGTTGTTTCAAGGCCCACTTGGCTAATGGAGCTAGAATATGTGTGTGTGTATACACATACACGTGACAACAACTTCTTTTAATATTTTAGTATATTTCATTTTTCAGGGTTTTTTTTGTTTGTTTTTGCAGTTTTTGGCTGGGGCCGGGTTTGAACCCATCACCTCTGGTATGTGGGGCCAGCACCCTGCTCCTTTGAGCCACAGGCACCGCCTTTCATTTCAGTTTTTATGAATTTCCTTTCCATATGTTCTTGTTTTTCTTTTATTATTACTATTTTTTTGTTATTGAGACAGAGTCTCACTTTCCCATTCTTGGGAGAGTGCTGTGGCATCATAGCTCATAGCAACCTCAAACTCTTGGGCTCAAATGATTCTTTGGCCTCAGCCTCCCTAGTAGCTGGGACTACAGGTGTCCACCACAATGCCTGGCTATTTTTTTGTTTGTTTGTTTGTTTGTTTGTTTTGTTTTAGCAGGCCTGGGCCAGGTTCGAACCCACCAGCCCCAGTGCATGTGGCTGGCCCCCTAACCCCTGAGCTATGGGTGCCCAACCTTGTTTTTCTTTTATATATGATTGAAATGATATTCTATAAATATGTTATGTATTGTTATGTAACTGTTAAATATAGTTATATACTGTATTTTCATGTTATTAAAGTAATTCAAAAATTTTAAATGACTATAATATTTTTGTAATGTTATTTATTTAGCCATTCACTGGTTGTCATTATTGTTAATAATGCTGTGGTGGGCATTTTTAAACATAAATACTTACTAAATGAAATTATTGGTTATAATGTAGGCACAGGTGTTTTTGCCATCTTTATCCCACAAACTACACAGAACCTTTTTATTTGAGAATATTTAGTTTGCTGCCAAGCCCTATCAGAAAAGTAAAAGCATCCCAGAATCTCTGTCATCAAACTTTTTCTTGTATTTCTTTGGCTATAACTATGTTACATTGACACCTCAGGTAGAGCAGGCTAGGGAGGAAGGGTAGGGAATGTGTTTGTTGAGTAATAATCCATAATTATGGCATTTATGGGGAAAAGGGCTGTCCCTTTTGGACTAATAGTTATCAGCATTGTTCTCCAGCTGGTTTAGGTACTTAACAGGGAATTTAATAATAGTTTTATAGCTGGAGAACTGAGCATTTGTTTTTACCAAGGTAGATTCCAGTTCTTTTGTGTTTACTAAAGAAAGAGAGGCATACATTCTTATTACTGTTTGTGCTTTAAATAGTTTGAATAGGCCAAATTAACTATGGGTACAATAACTGGGTATTAGCTCTCCTAGTAGTATCAGAATTTCCAAGGTCAGTAGGTAGGTATTGTTACTTTATCTTAAGAGGGAGGCAGTAGTAGTTAGTCCTATTTTTCTTTAGCGGAAAAATGAAAGTAGAAGTAAACTAGTACTGTGGAAATAATTTAGTAACATTTTATTCTGTGTCCTGTTTGTATAGTGTAAATGGAAACTTTCAGAATTGTTAGAATATCAGTATCTCTTGCGTCTTATTTTGCCTCAAGTGAATAGTTTTGGTCTTGTTATATATATCATTCTTGGTATATGTGTGTGAATGGAGTTTATAAAATGCTTTTGAGGTAGAGAAGCACTTTATAAGCATGACAACAGGGCCAGAAACCATAGTGTATTAATAGACCTGACTTCATAAAAGTCACATTAAAAAGGACATCAAAACCAAAGTTAATAAGTAAATGAGAAACTGTAACAAAAAATTTCAACAGATGACTATTTCACTACTATGTAAAGAGTTTTTACAAATCTCTAAGATTATTTCAATAAGAGTAGTGTGCAAAAGCATGTCAACATGTCAGCTAGCAGACTTAAAAAGGATAAAAGGAAAATCTCAAATGGCCAGAAAACATAAAGACATTCAACTTCATTAACCAAAGCAATGAAAATAAAAATGAGATTTCATCCAGGAATGTTTGCTCAAGCCTGTATCCCAGCACTTTAAGGAGGCTGAGGCAATACAATCAATCACTTGATGTCAGGAATTGAAGATCAGCCTGAGCAACAGCCCCATCTCTACAAAAAAAAAAAATTTTTTTTTAAATTAACTGGTCATGATGGTGCACACCTGTAATCCTAGCTACCTAGGATGCTGAGGCAGGAGGATCACTGAGCCCCAAAGTTCAAGACTGCAGTGAGCTGTGATCATTCCACTGCACTGCAGCATGGGCAACAGATGGAGAACCTATCTTTAAAAATATAAAAAAGGAGATTTCACTTTTTCCTTATTCAATTGGAAAACATTAGAAGGATTGGTAGGCACCAGTGTTGATGGTATAAGGAAACAAGCGCTTGTATTTGTTTGTTAGGAATGTAATTGGCAGAATCTTGTTGGGAGGTTAATGTTTCCAAATGTGTGTGCATCTGTTAACCCTGAAAAATCTGCTAGGAATTGACCTAAGGAAATGTCTAATTGTCAAATATGTTTTAACAAGGATCTTTATTACAACATTATTTATAATGGAGAAAAAGAAGAAACCAATGATCATTAGTAGGGAACTAGTTAAGTAAAGTCATTCAATGAAATTATAAGCAGCTATTAAAGGATGAAGTAGAGCTGTATATATTAACAATGTTAAGTGGACAAAGTAAGCTACAAAATCCTATCTATGATAATTTCATTTTTGAGTAATATATACATATGCATATATATGATTTTTTTTTTTAAGTGGCACCTTAAAAAAAATACTACACTGTCATGGAAAGAGCTGCAGGTTATTTTGTTACCTGGAAAACAACCAGGGTAAAACCCTAAAACAGTGTTTGTAACATAATCCATTTATTTTTTAAATAAAAACCAGTATACTCATATATGTATGTGTAGTATATTAGAATGCTTAGGAAAACGTCTAGAAAGTCCATATATAATAATATTAAGAGTATTTGCTTGTGAGGAGGGGAATAGGATGACGGGATGACAAAGGGGGTGAAGGGAGGCTTTCAGTCTTCTTTTTTATACTACTGTTTGGCGCTCATCTTTTGCCATGAAGATGCATTCACATTAGTTGCCATTAATTAATAAAATAGCTTTGGAACAGTGTATACCAAATTCATGTTTATTGCTAAGCGAGGTAAAATAGAAGATACATTTTACTTTCCATTATATTTATTTCTGTATCTTTAAATTTTTTTTTTTTTACAGTAAGCTTGCATTGCTCTGTATCAACAGAAAAAAAGATGTTTTCATTTTGAAAATGGAATATATAAAAGAGAGAGAGATAGTGGGAAGGTCCTGATTATTTCTCCATTGAACTATATGAAAGACCTTCTCCCTCATAATTCTGTCCTACACTACCTTTTTCATACTTGGCTAGCTTCTTTTCCAGCACCCCCTCCCTCCGCCTTTTAAACTGTGGTAAAGTACACGTAACATAAAATTTTCCTGCCCTTTTGATTTCTTTTTCCAAGAGGCAGCTCCACTTGTGGTTCTTAGCTTACCCAGGTCTAGAGAGAGAACCCTCCTCTTTTCCTTAGTTGTTCCTTGATTCTAGTTTATTTTTCTACTGCATATCTAAACTAGGTTAATGCTCAGTGATTTGGGTGGGGATACGGTCCATTGCTCATCTTGATTCTCCCCATATCCCTTGTCCAGTTTGAGCTCAGTAAATTTGCACCTGGTTAAACTGAACTGAAACTGGAACATAGCTTCTCAGAGAAAGATGGAGACCGAGAGAGAGATCGGTAAAACAGAGGGCTTTTTTTTTTTTTTTTTTTAAAGACAGTCTCACTCTGTAGCCCTGGGTGGAGGGCTGCTGTGTCATAACTCACAGCAACCTCAAACTCTTGGGCTCAGGTGATTCTCTTCCCTCAGACTACTGAGTTCTTGGGACTGCCACCACTTTGGGCTAATTTTTCTGTTTTTAGTAGAGATAGAGTCTGGCTGTTGCTCAGGCTGGTCTCAAACTCCTGAGCTTAGGCAATCTACCCACTCATGCCTCCTGGAATGCTAGGATTACAAGTGTGAGCCACTGCACCCAGCCAACATAGAGTATTAAAACATCCTAGGGGAAAAGTACTATGTTTAAAAGAGTAGTGGCATCATCATTTTGTTCCTTTTATCTTGTGGTCTGTGTAGTACTATCTATTTACTTAATTACTGCTAATACAAATGTTT